ATTTCCCCCCCCCCCCCCCCCCCCCTAAAACCTTAATGCTCAAAATTCACCTTTGGTTATCTTGAGTTTGTTGATCACCCCCCTAACCCTCCTCTCTCTCGGGCATATTTTAGATAGTCCAGGCATCCTTTCTATGATTTCATGTTCTATTTTGTAAATATGGTTTACTGATCACCAGCCGTTCAATTTACAATATATAACATTTCTTTTTCAGATCTATATCCAACATCAAAACATGAAAATTGAAATAATTGATCATAGCTGAGGATCATGAAGCTCTAAATGCTAAACTGGTACTGAATGCTGCTAAACTGAACTCTGAATGCTAAACTGAACTCTGAATGCTAAACTGAACTCTGAATGCTAAACTGAACTCTGAATGCTGCTAAACTGAATGATACATGAGTTGATAAAAGGTATGTTAATTTGTGTTAAATATTTATAATATCTTGTATCGTTTCTGTTCCTTTACTAACAATACGATGATTACCAACAGCTAGAAGTGGATTAGGACATGTGTATTGTCAAGAATTGTTACATCCCTCCTTCATTAGCACATTTAGGGGTAGAAAAGTAGGACCTAATAATCCATTTTTCTCTCTATATGTATCTATGTACTCATCTCCAATCAATATATTGACAATATCTTATTATTTATTTCAGATATCTCTTCAGTAATTGGAATATAAATTATTCTAAAATAGATCAGATAGAAACATCTTTACAATGATAACACCCAGCTAGTCCTTGATATTGATCTTATTCAGATTATCCACACCCATTTACAGCTGGGTCGACTGGAATTATGAGAGAAGATGGCTTATTCAAGACTAACAGGTAGGTGTTTGCTGATTTGGGGGTTGACAAGAAGAGGTCGATTAAATCTCGGTTCCTGGAAGTCTAGGTTCCAATTTCAAATCAGAGCACCAATTTTCAATTGCAGAAAGCGGATATATTGCGAGAACATTTATGCCCCTGTGCTGAACTGAATAGCGAAAGAGACCTTGGATATTTCTAACTCGTGCGATTTTGAATCGTTCACTCTCGTCCAGGTCCTGATTGGCTCAGAAGGGTGCTCCCCGCATGCGCATACA